ATGGCTGAGTAGCATTCCATTGTATAAATATATCATAGCTTCTTTATCTAGTCACCTGTTGTTGGACATTTAGGTTGCTTCCATGTCTTGGCTATTGTAAACAGTGCTGCTATGAATATTGGGGTGCATGTATCTTTTTGAATTCGAGTTCCCTCCAGATATATGCCCAGGAGTGGGATTGCTGGATCATAGGGTAAGTATATTTTTAGTTTTTTGAGGAATCTCCATACTGTTTTCCATGATGGCTGCACCGAACTACATTCCCACCAACAGTGTAGGAGTGTTCCCTTTTCTCTACAGCCTCTCCAGCATTGATCATTTGTGGACTTCTTAATGATGGCCATTCTGATGTCTTGATGTCTTGATGTCTTGATGTCAAACACAGTAATTAAGAGAAAAGAAAATGACAGTAACCCTGCTTCCCTCATTAACTTTGTCTGCCTGGCCCTTAGAAGCATACAGATTAGTCACCTTGAATTTAGACTTTAATTTCAAAACAAGCCTAAGAACTACCCTTTCCCCACCAAAAAAAATAGATGGGTGAGGCAAACTGAACTTGAAACTCCAGATATTAGAAAATTCAGGGAGCTAGGTAGAGCTCAGTGGTAGAGTGCATGCTTAGTGTACATGAGGTCCTGGGTTTAATCCCCAGTACCTCCATTAAAAATAATAATAATAAATAAGCCTAATTGTTTCCCTCTGCAAAAAAAAAAGGAAGAAAGGAAATCCAAACATAGACTTACTTAATTTTTATATTATTGTAATACTTACTTAATTTTTATATTATTGTAATAGCAAGTTATTGAAAAACTGTGAAATGATAGTCACATTTCCAAACAATCGATTTAATAATACAATAAATGTAAAATAGACTTCTGTGAAAGGTGGCCCAGGCTTACAGAACAGCTCCCTGCACAAAGTGGAACAAAATGAACAAGAGATATAAGACTCAAAGTAATAAGTAATAATCCTGCCATGTCAGAACAAGGGACAAATATCCCAATACTATAAACTGGGATAAAAGCCATCCAGAGACAGAGAAATCCGCAACACATTGACAGGAACTCTGAGTTGTCACTAAACAGGAGGAGTAAGTCAAACTGAAGATGCTGGCTACAACTCTGGAAGCTCCAACAGGCTTGGGAGTACAGCTGGAAGATGGGAACATCTCAAAGGGACCCCTCCTCCCATCACAGTAGGAAGTAATGAGGTGCCAAGGGTCACAAAATGAAGGTTTCCTAGGTTCTAAGGAATACCTGCCTGAGGGGCTGGTCTCTGTATATCGCATTCAACCAAGAAGCTTTCATACAAAGGCACAACCTCAGAAATTCTGACTCAGTCGGTGCTGAATAGGAAGGGACTCAGCAATGCAAAAGGCTACCTAGTGTAGCACTCTCTGGACTGCAAATGTCTTAAATGACCATCAGTGGGGAAATGGAGAGATAACCATGGTGCATTCACGGACTACTCTCACAACTGGCCAGACAATGAGGAAGCTCAGTACTGATATGAAATAATTTCCAACATACATTGTTAAGAGGAAAAAAAAAAAAGCATGATACAGAACAGTGTTACAATAGGCTGCCAGTGGAAAAACTCAAATTATAAATAAATATGCCTCTGGGGGAGGGTATATCTCAATTGGTAGAACATGTGCTTAGCATGCACAAGGTCCTGGGTTCAATCCCCAGGACCTCCTCTAAACATAAATAAGTAAACCTAATTACCTCCCCTCTCAAAAAATAAAATAAAGTAAGTTTAAAATAAATAAATAAATATGCCTCTATTTGAATAAATTATCTCTAGACACATTCATTAAAAAAAGTGATAATATTGGTTGTGTCTGGGAAGAGTGACTGAGTGGCTGGGAAAGAAGAGGAAAGAACATTTTCCCTGTTTTGTTCTTGAATTTTAAACCAGTTGAATGTATTAGTTATTCTAAAAAGAAACAAATGACTTAGAAAAATAAAAAAAGAGGAAGGAAGGAAGGAAGGAAAGTAGGGAGGGAGAGAAAGAGGGGAGATGATTAGGTGATAGGGAGCTAGCCCCTGCAAAGTTTTCCTGTAAAAAGAAAATCTGTATGATAATGCAATCCAGTCACGCAAAAGAGACTGGAAATGCAGAGGGCAGTGCGCAAAGTATGGGCAAGAAACTCGACATCCATTTAATTATAGCTAATGGCAAATCATTACAGCAATCGCAATTATAAAACAAATTTAAGGAGGGGAGGGTATAGCTCAAGTGGTAGAACATGTGCTTAGCATGCACTAGGTCCTGAGTTCAATCCCCAGTACCTCCTCTAAATAAATAAATAAATAAACCTAGTTACCTCCCTCCAAAAAAATTTTTTTTAATTTATATTTTTTCATATTTTTTAAGGAGCAAACAACACAATGTCAAACTTTCAAGAATATAGGTATAATATCAATATAATGGGCTGGTACCTAAATTCCAAAGCCTACCCCAAATTCAAAGGCGGGAGCCAGTGACTGCTCTATGTCATTCCCCCAATCACGTTCTATGTATCATACATCTGCTCTGTGGAACTATATTCAATATCTTGTAATAGCCTTTAATGAAAAAGAATATGAAAATGAACATATGTCTGTATATGCATGACTGGGACATGATGCTGGACACCAGAAATTGACACACTGTAACTGACTCTACTCCAATTACAAAAAAAAATCTGCTCTGTGGAACACTCCCTTCTGAGGAACTGAGGATACAGGATACAGTGGTGAATAAAAGAGACAAGCATGGGGGAGGGAGGAAGGGTATAGCTCAGTGGTAGAGCGCATGCTTAGCATGCATGAGGTCCTGGATTCAGTCCCCAGCACCTCCTCTAAAAAAAAAATTAATAGGGGGAGGGTATAGCTGAAGCGGTAGAGGGCATGCTTAGCATGCACAAGGTCCTGGGTTCAATTCCCAGCACCTCCTCTAAAAACAAATTAGTAAATAAACTTAATTACCATCCCCCCAAAATAAATAAATAAAAATAAACTAAACCTAATCCCCCCAAGCCAAGCAAACAAACAAAAACATCTGAAATAAATGAGTAAATAAAATTAATGCAAAACCCTTCAATATTAGATTAGTGCGAGCCTAGCCCTGCACTGTGGGCATAAAGTACAACCACAACCAGTTTACTCTGGGAGCACAGTGGTGTTGTCTATTAGAGAATCTTTCAGTAAAATTCACCATAATGATGGATTAAAGAGGGAAAAGTATACCAACCTCCAAAGACATTGAAAATAATTCACTTGAACTAACATGATATTTCAGATTTGGAAAGAAATAGGACATCATCTCAGATAAAATAAGAATAAATGGCAAATTCCTTAATTTGTATAAATCCACCAAATACATGCACATATTTATAAAACCATTCAAATGTATTCTAAATTCCTTTATTTGTTATATATAGTTGGAATTTAGCATCAGGCTGGATGATTTCACATGAGAAGGAGTCCCACCAAAGTCAGGTATAAGATACTATTATTTAACTATTTTTAATAGTTACCAATTTATTTATTTACAGATAAATAATTTATTTGTAAACTGACTATACTTCAATAAAAATATATTTTAAAAAATTGATTTTACTACTTTGACCATTTTTATTTTATTCTTTAACACCTTTATTGTGGTATGATTCCTGTACAGTAAACTACACACATTTCAGATGTACACTTTGATGAATTTTGATAGATGTCTACACCCACGACACCACCACTACAATCAAGATAGCTAACATTTCCATCAAGAGGTGCAATTTTCAAATTCCCAATTTATCCCTTCCCACCCCCTTTACCCTCTGGTGACCATAAATTTGTTCTCTATGTCTATGAGTCTGTTTCTCTTTTGTAGATAAATTCATTTGTGTCCTTTTCTGATACTCCTGCTCTTAATGCTCCTAAACATTGACACAATTAAGTCCTAAGAGTATAGGGTGGGTGCTAAAAATAGCCCAAGATTTTAAAATGTTACTTTGTTCAAAAATATATAGTCTGGCTGAGAGTTCGAAATTTGTAGATACTGACAGGTATATTTAGAATGGATAAACAAGATTATACTGTGTAGCACACGGAAATGTATACAAGATCTTGTGGTAGCTCACAGTGAAAAAGAATGCGATAATGAATACACGTATGTTCATGTATAACTGAAAAATTGTGCTTTACACTGGAAGTTGACACAACGTTTTAAAAAGAGTATAACTCAATAAAATAAAATTTAAAATATATATATAGTCTGGGAGTAGGGGGCATAGCTCAGTGGTAAAGTGTGTGTTTAGAATGCACAAGGTACTGGGTTCAATCCCCAGTAACTCCATTAAAAAATAAAGAAACCTAATTACCTCCCTCCTCCAAAAAATTTTTTAAAAAATAAAATAATTCTAAAATATACATATAGTCTGACCTCTATGAAACAGCGATCTCACTCTTGCACATACAGACCTGACAGAAATGCAATACAGTTCACCAAAGCACATATTCAAGAATGTTCATTCCAGCATTCCAGCAATACCCATGATAACCCAAGCCAGTGGAAACAACCCGAATGTCTCCAGCAGTAGAATGAATAAATTATATGTGTACATGACACAGCTCGGGAACTGCACAAATGCAAACGACACACAGCAACAGGAGCCAATCTCCTGGAAAAGTTGAATGAAGGAAGGTGGACACAAAGAACACACTGTAAGATCCCATTTACATGAAACTCAAACATGGAGAAGGCTGGTCAACGGTGGGCGGAGTCAAAATGGTGGTCAAGTCTCGGGCGTGGGAGACTCCTGAAGTTGACGCCATACTGGACTTCTTGGTATGGATGCTCATCTTACATGTATTCTCCATGTGGAAAAAGCTTGCTGAGCCTGAAGATGCAGATATTTCTTTATAGGTTCTTTTAATGGGTGATGGGGATGCTCTGGACCATATAATACTGCTTTACCGTGTAAACTTTTTTATCCCCAGTTACAAAACTGAGGTCCAACTAGAATGGAGATCTCAGCCTACAACGTATTTGAGTTCTCCAGTCCCCCCACGCCTCTTTCCCCCTGAAGTTCCCTCCTCTGAACTTTTCTGAGAGTTGACTTGACTGGACTCATCTTCGCGTGGTGATTCAACCCCAAGTGGATTTCTATCCAGTCTCTACAACTTGGTAGTAACTCACCTTACGGTGCCTCAGCTTTCTCACCTGTAAAATGTCACTAATAAAAATGAGTTCCTGGGGGGAGGGTATAGCCCAAGTGGTGGAGCCCACGCTTAGCATGCAGGAGGTCCTGGGTTCAATCTCCAGTACCTCCACCAATCAATCAATCAATCAGTCAATTACCTCCTCCCCCCACAAAATAATAGTTCCTACCTCATATGGTTATTGTGATAGTTCAGTGAGCTGAAAGGTGAGCTGGTTGGCCGACCCTGGCTTGCGTCCATTCTATGACACATCTTTTAATTTCTGGAAATCCACAAGCAACAATCAACGGGGTCTTACAATCACTGCCAGCCAGGTGGCAGTTGTGACATAGCTGTTACTGCCTGTGCTCACAGTTTTTACTTTGCTATTTATGTGTGTATGAGTGAAATACGAAAACAGCACTGCCTACATAAGCCATTCTTTCAATAAGCACAAAGAAAAAAATTTAGGAGCAGGCTTTTTCGTTTCTTAGTGGCCAACAAAATGATGATGCCTGTTAACGGATGGCATCTTAGATTTGATGAAATGTCCTCATGAAATATCTCATGAGGTTGCTGTCAGCAGCTTTCCAGCATTATTCTATTTTTTAAATATTTCCATGCATTATTTGATTTTTAAATTTTGTCTTTAAAGCAATCATTTTAAACCAGGTCTTTTCTGGTCGTCTTCAAAGCTTCCCTAGGAACTGGGAAATTGAGACTCCCAGGGAAGCAAAGTACAGTAACAAGATGCTTAACTATCCCTTGTCTTCTTCTGCTCTTAAACCGCCCTTTCTGCCATCTGCACCGCCACCCCCAGAGCATGAACAAGCACAGGACCGGGCACAGCATGTTCCCATTCACTTCTGAGCTCAAACATCAACTCTTCTGAAAGAACTCCTCCAGCCCACAAACCCATAAACCCAGCAGTTCTCCAACTTTGCTGCATATTGGAATCACCTGGAGATCTTTTACTACTACTACTACTACTGAAGCTTGGGTCTCTCTCTGAGAAATTCTGATGTAATTGTTCTGGGGTGCCACCCCGCCATGGGGATTTTTCAGAGCTCCCCAGGTGATTCTGCCAAGACTGGGAAACCCTGCATTACCCTGTGTAATGATTTTTGGATATTCTCTTAACTATTCATCATGATGTCTGTATCTTCCACCTGCTCCTGGGGAACATGGAAGCTTTTCCTTGTCAACCTCGTCCAGTGCTGTACCCCAGCGTCCCGTCGCCTGCTATGACCTGAGCCTCCCTGCGCCCCTTCTAAGCACAAGCTTAGGGAGCTAGGTCTTCTTCAAGAGTTAAAGGGATTTTAGGAAGTAATTCAGGTCGGGTCACTCCTTGGGCCTCTGGTAACACGCATTTCTGGCCTGCGCCTGTCCAACTTCACCCGCCACCAGCAACCAAGCCAAGCGAGATGTTAATGGGACTGACTGTCCCCTCCAGGTCCTCCGCTTTGATCAGCAATGCGCTGTCTAACAGATCGCTCCCCAGCCCAGGAGCCAGCAGAGCACAGGCAGGTCCGTGAGGTTGTTTACCCACTTCTGGGGTCTTGGGGGACAAACAATGGGAGGGTCTCAAAGGAAGGGAAACTCCTACAGCGAGGCTCAGGCGGGGTTCCGCGCGCGCGGAGCGAGGGGGCGCTGTGCCTTCCCCGGCGCAAACCTCCGCTCCAGCCGCCAGCTTCCGCGGGCGCAGATCCGCAGGCGACATCCCAGAGGACCGGGAGCTGCAAGGAAAGCCCCCCATCCCAGCGCCCGTGTAATTTATCCAAGCGTTTCCCGCCAGTTGTGCCCCTGGGTTTGTGTTGAGCTAGCAAAAACCCCGACTTCTCCAAGAACCAACTTAAAGATGCATTTTAAGTGAAAAAAAAGCAAGATGTTGAATAGTGTATATAAAAGCGAGAGGATGGGTAGGGGACAGACGGGGAAATTCGAGTACATACACTTAACTTACTGGTACCAATGTATATATACCAAGCGCCGGAAATACACAAGAAATTAACCATGGTGGCCAGCAGGCCGAGGCGCGAGACGTTGCAACCGGGTGGCTTTTTGAGTTTCTTAAGCCTTGTGCAAGTATGTTTTAAAATATTTATTGATTTTATATAATATATTGCTGGATGCTGTACATAACATATCCTATTGTATTTTATTGTAGAAACACACCAGAGTACATATAATAACACAGCCACGTTTATCTCTGGTTGGTGGAGGACAAGTCCAAATTAGTCACTACCTGTGACGCTTACCTAACACACAGGGAGAAAGGTTCTCCTGTGTGAAAAGGCAAAGGTAGGGGGCTGTGGGAAATATGTGGGGACCCCCTCCGCCATATATTTTTATTCAAGACAAAAGGATCGAGGGAAAACTGAGGCCCTCGACTGCCCGAATACAACCCAGAGTGTCTTTGGAGTTGGAAGCCGGCGGCAAGGCAAAAACCAGGAACGCGCGCCCAGAGAGGCCTTTGCTGGCTCGGGCGCAGACGCGTGAGTTCCAGCCTCTGCCTGGAATCGGCATTTTTCGCTCAGGCCGCCTCCCGGGGCGGCGGTGGGAGCGACAGTGCCCAGGGAGGCGGGCGTTTGCCGCGCGCTCGGAGCCCTGGGAGGCTCCCTGGAGGTGGAGTCCGCTGCTCTGAGCGCGAGGCGCGTCCCCGAGCTGCGCATCGCGGGGTGGGGGCGGCCGCAGAAGCCCGGCGCGCAGCGGGGGTGGGGG